GACATTTGCAGTGAACTGTGCTGTTTCTGGGAGCTTAAGTCCTGAGGGGATGCAGGACTCTGGTCCTGGGGAGCATCGCAGCTGCCTTCAGTGTTACTGCCTGGGCGGCTAGAGGGGGCTGGAGACTTCGGGCAAAACAGAAGCAAGTGTGTTTGGGTTAGGAGGACGACGTTGTAGGTGTTTCACTACTTAAATTTACTTAATATTCTGCAGGTGAATTGATGAGTAATGGCAGAAGGACTTGCAGGCCAGCAAGAAGCACTGACAGTATTTTGCCAAGCTAAGACCAAGCCCAGTGCACCCCAAAGCGTGCTGCTCGCGTCTCTCCTGGGGGCCACCCGCACTGGGGACATCTCTCGAGGGTCAGGTGAAGCACGCTGTTGGTTCCTGCTCCCCTGGCTCCTCTGAGCTGGCCCCGTGCCATGCCTTCGCTGGTGCCTCAGTTTACCTCTTCCCGAGGCGTTTTAGCTCTCGGCTGCCTGTCTGGAGACCTTGTTTGCGAGCTGCCACAGGTGGCTCCTTGGCTCATCCCTACCTGCCGAAACCTCTGCTTTAATTGCTTCTGCTGGGACCGGAGCAGGGTCTGCAGGGTGCAACATGCCTGAAGCAGAGAGCTCGGACTCCTCGCCATCTCCTGCCTCCCCAGCACTGTGTTCCGACTCCAGTTCGCCGTGCACCTCAGCCCACCTCTTCATTAGGCTTTAAATTAAGAGCAGGGGAGGACTGAATGGTGCAAGTCTTTCCCTTGCAGCGCTTCAGGGAGCTTGCTCTTCTCCCAGGCTGAGCAGAAGGACCAGAGGAGGGGAAGGCATGATACGGCAGCCACACTGTGGTTCACAGCTGCTTGGCTGATTACCCCCTTTTATCGGGCACCCTTCTGACGTACACAGCCGCGCCGGCGGTGCGGCCGGCGCTGTGACACACAGGCAAATGGCAGCAACAGCCACGTGCGAGGAGAACCAAGCGCAGCAGCTTAGAGCGGCCGCGTCCTGCCGTAATCTCATTTCACTGCAGCTGGGATTAAGGTTGCTCCCAATATAGCACCAGGACATGGCACAAGGGCACACTTTATTGGCCTGTTAATACCCAGCTCTGGGGAAAGTGGTGAGGCTCCAGCTGCTGTTGCAGCACTTGCCTGTAAATGCAGCGGTGAAGAGAAGGGGAGGGAATTTCTGGAAAGAAATATCCTCCTTCCTGTGCTTTCCCACCCCACTTTTGCTGGCCCTTGCTGCCAGGGCCAGCTTTTGGGGATGGGCTCAAGCCTTGAATTTTGGACCCAGGCATCAAGGCAAGAGGGCTTTGTGGCTGTGCCAGCCTCCCGCTTCCATCAGCTCAGGTTCAGGCGGGCGTGCTGGGAGCGAGGACAAGAGCAACCTGAATCTGGCTCCCACCGCTGCAGCAACCTGCACCTCGTGGCTGAGCTGAGGAGGCTTTGGAGGTCCAGGCTCCAATTCTCCTTTGCTCCCTGAAGATGTGAGTTGTTTTTGGAGGGATGGCAGCTTTGTGAGCCGGCAGTGCCTGCTGCTGGAGGAGGAGGAGTTCTGTCCACGCTGCCCAAATGGCCTTCTAGCCACAGGTGCTTGTCTTGCCAGCATCCGATCTGGGGACAAGTCATCCTTGTGCTGGTGTATGTGAGGGGAAGGCCGGGAGCACAAGCTGGCAAAGACAATGGGTGTCCTCCTGTCTGACTTCTGTAATTAAATGCGGGGGCAAGAGGGGGAGTAAAAAGGAGTTTGTAACTTTGGAGTAGATACATGCTACGTATAGCCCTATGCTGTCAACAGATGATGAAATAGGTTGCAAAGAACTGCAGAAGCCTTTTCTTTTTAATTTATTTTCTTTTCCATGCTGGTTCTGTCTAAGCATGACTGTCTGACACTATAGCTGCAGATTCATAGCTTCACAAGCATTGGGACCAGATGGACCCGTTAGATCAGCCGTTCCGCTCCCCCGTCCTACCTTGCCAGGTAGGCTTTCATCCAGCTCCCTGCCAAGAGCCCCATAACTTCTGGTGTTAATTGTGCCATGGGCTCATTTTCCTTGAGAAGGGCCCCGTGGACCAGCCAGAGGGTGGCTTGGGGCAACTGGGGGACATTTCCTGTACTGACAGCTTATCCAGATTCTTGGTATAATCCTTCCCACCACTGACGTTTGCTTGTGTGAAGGTATGTGCCTTGTTGGACCACAACGTTGGCACTCATGGCCAGGAATACGTGCTGGGCAGGGTAAGCTCCCATCCATTTTGGGACCGGTGATGGACACACAGCTCTCTGTTTACTTTGCAGAATCAATGGTGGATTCGTAAAGATAATGACCATTGTAGTCATTAATAAACAGAATTCATGGCCTCTCCTGGTGAACCTGACAGCCCTTTGGAGGGAAGTGACTCGGTGCCAAAATTGGCAAGACGATTCTGCGATGTAAGCAGGGCTGCATGAAAAGGGACGTACTTACCATCTCGCTCTTGCCATTGTCATAGCACCTGCTGTGCTATAGGCAGGTTTCAAGTGCACCGACTTCAAATAGATCGCAGGAAGCTTTGAAATGCGCTTTTAAGGCAGTTGTGCTTAGGAAGGCCCCTCTGGTAATTGATTTACCCCAGTTTAATGTGGCAGAGGACGAAGGGAGAGGTAACCAGGATCCAGCCTTCTATAGGACAGAAAGGTGCTGAAGCTGCTTCTCTTGTAGAAATCTCTTTCCGTGTGTGGATGTGTGGAGGGAGCCTGGAAATCATCCCCTGTAGCCGTGTTGGACACGTCTTCCGGAAGAAACATCCATATGTCTTTCCAGAGGGAAATGCCAATACTTATATTAAGTAAGTGTTTTGTGCTTGCTTTGTTTTTTGTGAAATAGAGTAAGGTGCTGCCTTGTGGGGAGGGGGGAGCAGAGAAGAGAGGGAGGAAAGTTTGTTTGGAAAACTTTGAAATATCCCTGTGCAGCAATCTCCTGAGCTGAAGAAAATGCAAGTCAGTACGATTCTGCCTTAGGATTTCTACAGTGTCAAGAATAGGACACTTATATGGTACCTTCCATCAGCACACAAATTGCTATCCCTGAGCACTATCTACCTTAACAGCAAATGGATTAGACCCTAAGGTCATCAGAACACATTTGTAATGAACTGAAATCAGGCTGCCAGCCATGCCTGTCAGTACCCAGTGACCTTAGCTGAGGGCTGAGCCTGGTTCAGCTGAACCGGAAAATTTGGTTCCAGATGCCTCTCCGAGAGAGGAGCCAAGCAGTGTGCCGGAGCTGGTGGATTCACCTCTGGGCTGGCGCTGTCTCTCGAGCAGAGGCAGCAATGGGCTGCACCTCACTGGCAGGGACACAGAAGGAACTGCCAGGGCATCCCAGCTGAAGGGGACCTGTCCTCACATACAGGAACATAGACTGATTTGGATACTGAAACAGCTGGCTGAAATGGGCTAAGATGCTGGGAACGGCAGGCAAGGAGGGGGCAGTCCAGAAGTGGGAATCAGCATGGGAAAGATGATGGGAGCAGCTAGTGAAGTCAGGAAGGATTTCCTCTTTTTTTAGAGCGTGAGGCTGAAGACTGTCCATTAAGCAAATGACAGAGAAAAACACCGGGGCCACTTACACTTAATGCAGGGTCGTTTCTCAGCTAAACTGCATCTGGGTGTGTTTACACACCAGGCATTCCTTTTAGCCTGGGTTTGCCAGTGTTACAAAGAGCCAACAGTGTTTGTGAAGACCCAGCTGCCTGCAGCGGGGCTACCACTGATCCGGGCTCTCTGCAGCTTCCCCACACCTTGCGTGAGACAGCGAACTGGGGGAGTGCAAATTACACCTCTCGGTTATACCTAATAGGTGACTTCCAGCCACGCAGTGTGTGGGGCAGGAAGGGGACCTTGTTGCCTTGCTTCAAAAAGACGGCAGTGAGGGGCACAGGGCGTTGCTGGCATCAAGGAGGAGGGCACAAATTTGAGAGTCATTCAAGTCACTCTTGCATTTAGTAGTGAAATAAGACTCTTGCAGAAGAGGCTGGGATGTGGCAAAATCTCCACTGTCAGAGTTGCTGCAAACCTGAGCGAAAAGGCGGCGTCTGCGTTGCATCACCTGCAGGAGGAGCAAGGGGAGCTTGAATGGGTACAGCTCTTCTGGCTGCACCCCAGGCACCAGCCCACAGGGACTTTGGGGAGGTCTGAGTCAACGCCTAGGTGAGAGCCTCGGCATTTATCCCCGTGTTTCTTATAAACCCCAATGAGATCAGGAAGCCAAGATTAAAAAAAAATGAACTTTGTGGAAGGTTAGATACAGCTGGAGACACTGTGACTTCGGCATCTCTTGAGCAAGAGCACTTAGATTATTGCAGTGGCCTTAGAGAGAGAGGAAGAAGCACCATGAATCAGCAAAGGACTGAAAAGCGGTCTGCAGAAACCTTTCTGTAGGCATTAGGAGCTCAGATTTTATTACCTTATGGTACCTATCAGCCTTAAACTTCATGTTGAGAGGCTGAGAGGAGAAGCAGCTCCTGGAAACCTGATGCCATGTGGTACATCTGTTTAAACAGAGATGTTAGCAAAATATATCTCCACCTTTCTGCCAGATATTGATCTTTTTTTCCACACAGCCTCTTCTTCCGTGTGAGACAGCTCAGGCTCCAGTGTTGTGCTGGGTTCACGTGCAGAGTATGTCCTGTTCTGGCCTTGCGGGACTCTGCTGGGTCAGAGCCCGCCTCGTGGCACCCACAGCCCAGTGGTGTGGTAGCAATAGCTTGGAGGCACTGACCTGCCTTGAAGCAGGAGCTTGGAGGACTCCCCTGACCTGGGCAGGGATGGGCAGATAGGCATGGAGCAACAAATGAGAGTTAGAGCCATCTGAAGTCAACAGAAGATTTCCTGACTTTCATAAACCTTCTACAGACACGTGGGTGATGTGGAAGACTGACATTTATGGGACAACACTGTGGCCAGGGTGGTTTCTCTTTAAGTTTTGAGTGCTGAGATTTGCCTCAGTGAAATCCAGGAGTGCAAAGCAGAAGAGTCCATACAGGATTGACGCAAAGGACATATTTGCCTTCAATCTTTGGCAAATTTTGCATCACTTTTTTGTCACAGCCACTAAATAAAACCCCAGGCATGCCTGCCTGAGAGATGATGCTTAAGAGAAGCTTCAGTTCTGAGTCTGGCAGATGCAAAGCATCCGACTGAGTTTGAAACGGTAAATTCTTCACCCAAGCTTTGGCCTGTTGTGTTTGGTCCCTGGAGTAACTGGGGAGGAGGAGTAGTGAGGGGTGGGCTGGCTCAACAGTGGTTCAGGTGAAACCAAAGACCAAGTTGAAGATGGGAGGAGAGCGGGGCAGATCAGTCGACACATTTTAGAAAATGCCGCCTTGGAGGCTTCCTTGGTTTCACCTGTCTTTCATTGCCTCCTTCAGAAACACCAAGCGCACTGCAGAGGTGTGGATGGATGAATTCAAGCAGTACTACTACGCAGCTCGTCCCGCAGCGCAAGGGAGGCCTTACGGAAAGTAAGTGCCCTTCTCTGCTGCCTGCGCCCTGCCTGCGCCCTGCCTGCGCCCTGCCTGCTGCAGTGGGCGTTCACGGTGACGTTGCCCTGCTGTGGAAACCCGCCTGCGCTGTTTCTGTAGTAACGCTCAATTAAATGCTAATGGTAGGCAGATGCTACGAGCACAGCAATGAGCATATAAAGAGCTAGTCTATATGCTGTGCTAGTTTATCCAAGTGAGTGAACCGAATCGAGGTGGGGGAAAACCCCCTCTGCCGAGGTCCTGCCCTGGGCATTAGGTACAAGTACTTCTGGTCCCAGAGCGGAGTTTGGTGGGGACAGCCCAGAGGTCTCGCAGGCAGCCGAAAATCACCAAATTTGAGGCCCACTAAGGGTTTATAGGAAAGGAGCAAGTGCTTTGTATGCGGGGACTTTGCCATTCACTCTGTGAACAGTTAGAAATGCCTCCCTGTCAGGAGGACTGTAAATATTTGTGTTAATTTCTCATTTTCATATGCTCTTCCTTGCCTTAGAAAGTTTCCTTTGGACCACAGGAGGTTCCAAATCCAAACCCTAATTCCTTCTGGCTACTCTTCAATCTCCAGGCTAAATAAATTGAAATCCTGGTGATTAACCTATTTCCACTGAATCCGATCCGTCAACACCTAATGAACATAACAGCTCTGTCCTGCTAAATATATGAGGATGTAGAGAAGATAGCCTATGCGAAGGGGAAGGTACTGCAGGCTTCCTACTGCTCTGTAAATGCCAGCTTATAATGGCTCCACAGGTAGAGGCTGGCCCGGGGGCGAGCTGGAGTTTGGAAAATGTCACTATACAGCATGATCCCTCAGCAGAAATTTTGTCCTGGTTAATGAAAGAAAGTAGTATTTCACTGTGTGATTAACTTCTGCTGACTTAAAGGCATGTTTAGGTGCTCTTGGAAATCAAGGCCTCTGTAGTCCTGTAAACGAAGAGTAACTTATAATAGCAATATTAATTTCCTAGTACATTAATATATTAAATACTTATTGCATATAGTAGACAGCGCACATTTTTTACTAACCATTTTTAAATGACTGTACTTTTCCATGAACCTTTTTGTCCACCAAACTGCAGGCTTGTTAAAATGGCAATATGTCATCACGCCATTTTACCAAGTGAGTCCTCCAAAGAGACTGAGATCAAAACGACTGCCCAAGCTCATGCAGAAGATAGCAGAAAATAGAGCTGCTGATGCTCTTGTGTTTGCTGTCTGTGCATTTCTGTTGGGTTTCTCTCAGCCTTCATGATTTCCATTGTATCTCTATGATATTTTCTTCCCACAGCATCCAGAGCAGAGTGGAGCTGCGGAAGAGGTTGAAATGCCACAGCTTCAAGTGGTACCTGGAAAACGTTTATCCTGAACTTCGGTATGGATGTGTGATCTCCACCTGTCCCTAGCAGGCCAGCAGGATGCCCCATCCCTCCTGCCCCACAGAGCTTTCCTCTGCTGCCTTTCCCTGTGTGGCATTGCACAGCAGCATTCCCAGGGAATGCCAGGGCTCTGTGGTGGTTTGTTATAAAGTTCCTCAGCCCTGTAAGCTGAAGGCTGACCTTCAGCCTGCTCACAGTCTATTCCTTGCTCCTCTGTTTGCCTTGTGCAGTGTTATTTATATTTTCCTCTTAGAAAGGCCGGCTATCCATCTCTGAGTGCTGCTTCTGCAGTGTCCCTGTCCACGCACTGCTCTCAGTGGTTCAGTGTTGTAATAGATCTTGCCACTCTCGTTTTCTGAAGGTGCAATGGTGTGACTGCGTCCTCCTTACCCCACCGCGCCTCCCTTTGAGTACTGCGTGTGTTTGGGGGACCAGGGATGTTGTTTTTACGTTGTTCCCACAGGATTCCCAAGGAATCGCTCTATCAGACTGGGATGATCAGGCAAAGGCAGAGCTGCCTGGAGTCGCACAAGTCTGAAGTCCAGGAGTTCCCCGTCCTGAGCTTAAATCCTTGCATCAGCAGCAAAGGCATGGCAGCAACGGCACAGGTAAGATGTGTTGCCTATCCCCATGACGCCAGCTGGAGAGAAGGCTCTGGGGCAGGTCCAAGGTGATTTCCTAAGTTTGCTAAAGCTCTGTTGGAGGATTGCTTGTTCTGCCAGCCCTTTTCCTAAGGTAGCATGTAGTTAAACTCTGGTAAGTCCTCCTTACCTCAGTGGTGGGCCCTGGGCAGCAGCAGGGACTGGTGCAGGAGCCACAGTAGAAGGTGGACCAGTTATCTTGGTGCTAGCCCAGGCTCAGCACTTTCTGCTGCTTAGGAATGCCACATACCATTTGTCTACAGAGATCAGAGAAAGACAAAAATAACTATCATTTCCTCTCATCTTTCAGGCTTATTTCTTTCAAAATGCACTGAACCTTAATGGTATTTATAACTTCATAGTCTGCATTCTGTCAATATTAGATTGGCCATTAAACTAGTGAATTAAACTACACTAAATAACATTAAACTAGAGAATTTAATGAGGAGGATCTCATTTTTTTCAATTTCACTGGGACAAGAAAAAGCCATATGAATCAGTGTTCTCAAAAGCGTATTCTTTGAAATGTTAGACCCAAGAGCAGGCACATGTGCCTTGCAGCAGAGTCACTGGAGCAAGACCCTGAAGACACAGCTTCAAAACCTGCCTTTGCCTCAGGCTCCCTTTGTGATTTTGGGCATGTCAGGAAGTTCTCTCACTGATCCCATCTATAAAACAGGGAGGATAACAATCACTCACTACTTTGGGGTGCTGTGAAATAACTTAATAGGTAATGGTGTGCTTGCTTCCACTTGACTGTACGTCCTTAAGCCTCATGGTTACACATTCAAACCAGGTAGCTATGCATATAAAAGGCCCAGCCTGGAGATGCTGCTGAAAATGTCCCTAGTTTGTATGTGCAGATGAGGCATGTCACTATGTGTATCTCTTTTGCATACAGTTGCATGTCTGCCTTTAGTCAGGAAAATACTATCTGCTTCACACTCTGGTAAAATCAACAACGACTACTTGAATTTTAGTCAGTTCAGAAAATAAAGTGCATATAACTGCACGTAGCGCATAGTTACGGTTCTTATGGTTTAACTGTTTTCCAGGTTTTAGAATGCTTGTTCTTTCTTCCACTGCTATATGGACTTTTTACACAAACAGAAAGAGAACCTGATAAGAGCAGATCATCATGTTTTGCTGAGTCAACTCTGCTGAAGGAAAAAAAAAAGTTTTAGTAACAATTGCAACTTTCAATGAATTGCATGTTTTTAAAAACATCTGGGAAAACCAGAATGGAAAATGCTGCTGCAAGCTAGTGTTTCAAAATGAAATTATATTGGTCTTTCTGAAATATCAATTTGATGTGATATTTTAAAATGAGAAATGTCATGCCAACAGGTTGGATTGCTTCATTCCCATCAAACACGTTCTCTTTTGACATTTCTGTGGAGTAAATTTTTGGAATTTTTCATGTCAAAAACTTTTCATCTTCCCATTCTGATTCTGCAGCAGTCTGCAATAGGTCAACGCTTCCCACTGGATGTCAACTCTGTTTCTTGTGCACATCCAGGACTAACTCTGCAGCGGAACAGAAAAATGCACTACAAACAGATTGATGAATAGCTACACTCAATACACAGACAGGAATAGAGAAAAACCTTATCCTTTTATGCTCCTCTGTCTTTGTAGGCTAGTTCTCTGTAACTTGTATCCATGGAGAATGTTTCAGATGAAAGCAGGATATTTAAATTTTCATTGTGAATAGAAACTTACATTTTAATTACACAATTGTTACAAGACCACCTGAACTTGTGGATGACATGGGGGTTATAGTCACCAGGCTGTGTAGGATAGATTATGCAGCAGTCCTGAATGCTACTTAGTTTTGTATTTGGTATACCGGAATAGAACAATAATCTTCACTTTTAACATACTGAAGTCACAGCTTGTTTACCCTAAGCTTCATTATTTGAAAAATAGGCTTAGCTAAATCAAAGCTGTGCTTTCCTGGCATTCAGTAAGTAATATGGAAATATTCAGATCCTTTATTATCAGTGTTTGTAGCATTAATTTGGTGGTTTGATTGCCCCTCTGTAGCTGTCTCCCTACTAGGTTCCCAAGCCCTTTACCAACATTGCATGCATGAACTCCTGGGACCAGGTGTGAGAAGATCTGAGCAGTGATACATCACCATGGTTTGAGGAGAGAGGAACAGGAGCTGTCACATGGCAATCAATTGCTCTTTATTTTAGTTTTTTTCTATCAGTAGTGGAGGGGAAGGATATTGTGAGCCAATCCATATTTTGGGTAAATTGAGAAGAATATTCTGACTGTGGTGAAATCAGATTTATACCCCTAGCAGATCTCACAAACCTTCCCTGGTGGTGTCTGGTGTTAGTCCTGAATTACTAAAAGGGACACTGAGGCACAAGAAGACAGCTCATCTTTGTGCAGGAGCGTTCTTGTCTTCTCATCCCTGGGATCCACTTGGCCCTTCTCTCTCCAAAAGGTCTGGTAACAGTCAGGACAGGCTCTCTGCCCTGGGGTGGCTGTCATAAAATCATAGGATCATTTAGGTTGGAAAAGACCCTTAAGATCATCAAGTCCAACCATTAACCTAGCACTGCCAAGTCCACCACTAAACCATGTCCGTAACATGTCTTTTAAATACCTCCAGGGATGGTGACTCAACCGCTTCCCTGGGCAGCCTGTTCCAATGCTTGACTACCCTCTTAGTGAAGAAGTTTTTCCTAATATCCAACCTAAACCTCCCCTGGTGCAACTTGAGGCCATTTCCTCTTGTCCTATCGCTAGTTACTTGGGAGAAGAGACCAACACCCACCTCACTACAACCTCCTTTCAGGTAGTTGTAGAGAGCAATAAGGTCTCCCCTCAGCATCCTCTTCTCCAGGCTCCTCAGCCACTCCCCATAAGACTCGTTCTCCAGACCCCTCACCAGCTTCGTTGCCCTTCTCTGGACACGCTTGAGCACCTCAATGTCCTTCCTGTAGTGAGGGGCCCAAAACTGAACACAGGATTCAAGGTGCAGCCTCACCAGTGCTGAGTACAGGGTCATGATCACTTCCCTACTCCTGCTGGCCACACTATGTCTGATACAGGCCAGGATGCTGTTGGCCTTCTTGGCCACTTGGGCACCTCAGGGACCTGCTCTTGAGATAGTGACTGGCAGAGATCTTTATGCAGTGCTGCCCATCCCCGGGGCACAGTGGGCTCTGCCTGTGCTCCTGCCCACTGGAGTCTTGGTGCTCTATGTCTTCTTGTGTCTCATTTGCTAAATGCACTGTTTGATTTAGTTTTTCACAAAAGAAATGTGTCTGAGGGAAAATAGTTGTTCATAATTTTGTGCTGGTCTATTTGATGAAGATGTGAGTGATTGGTTTTCTTTTCAAACTAAGTGTCAGCTGATGTTAGTGCATACATCTTTGGAATAGACATCTGACTCTGGGATTTATTTAACAAATCATTAATCACTAGCAGTTCCATGAAACCTGACCTACTTCAGATAAAAGAGCAAAAGATGCTTTGGCCTGCATACTCATACATACATAAACAGTAGCCACAAGAGGAGTGTAAAGTCAGTCATCTCCTAGACAAGTGAGGAAGCAGTAGGAAGGTTGCAGCATCCATTTCCATGGCCTGCACCCCAAAATATCTGGGTCTTGGAGCTGACTGGGTGCCATTATATTTGGGTGGCATGTCCTTGACTCTGGTTGTGAAGGAAATGCAATGTGATAATCTGCCTGATATGGCATTGAAGCTTACCCCAGTTGGCTCGAGGACCTCTGTGGGCTGACTAGACCTGCGCTTTCTTTGGAGAACATTTAGCATCTATCCAAACTAACCTGACAGTGTCCCTCCTGAGACATCTCAACCTTCCTCCCCTCAAAAGTCTTGGTTGTTCTCCTCCATGGGCACGTCCTGCCCCAGCTGCAGGCTGGCTGGAGGTGCGGGAGCTGGGCTGAGCCGGCAGAGCAGAGGGGCTGGCTGGCAGCAGTGTCACCTCTGCACCTGCGCTGCCGCGGGCACCTTTTGTACTTTGCTTTCCCGCTCCTGAGATGTTTATAAGAGCTAGTTGCATCCCAGGGCCTTTTGATGAGTGAAGCACTTTGGTATCCTTAGGTGACCCATTCAGTCACGTGCCTTGGGAAATCCTTCCCTGGGATTTTAAAAAGATAATTGAGGGCTGAGGTTGTTCCCAACTTCTTCAGAAACATTTTTCTCTAGCTGCTGCCCTGGCTTTAGGGTACGGCTGACCTCTTGCTCAGCAGCAGAGCATGTACAGCTCTGTCACGTAACGCTGGGCTCCCATGGGGTTGCTCCTTGCTAGGCTGAGGGGCTCCTTTCTCCTTCGGCCAGCCAGGCTATGCCAAGCTGAAGGTCACATTTTAAAATAATTTCCTCAGGTCACAGTCATGCTGAGTAACAGTGACAGGTGCCTGCTCAAATGATGCTAAAGCCTTGGAAAATAGTTGCAAGCCTCAAATGGGGGTTAGTGTTATCCAAGGCTTTGGGGATTGCTGGCTGGTAGTTCTGCTCTCCCTGTCCACCCTCCTCCTCCTTGCTTCACTAGCACTTCATCTTTGTCTTTGAAAAGGCAGGAAATCTGGTCTCAGTTTCATCTCGTATGTCTGTTTTTCCTTGGTGCCGGGGTCAGCTCTAAACCCTGCTGGCATCTCTTCAGGCCAGTCTGCGGCCCTGAAGCCACGTTAGGTCCTTGAAGGTCTCTCTTCTTAGGAGTACCCTGGGCTGCCCTGTCCACCACAACCTCTGGGCTGTGAAGCTCTGCTGTTGTTACTCCTGTGCTGTCCACGTGAGTGCTCAGTGTGCCAGGGTTTAGAAGACAAAGTAGTTTCTCATGGGAAAAAAAGCAGGAATTGTCATCCCAACTGATACAAATAAGGGAAGAGATGGAGTAAGATAAAAATTTGCATGGCCATTTGCCTGTATTTTAACTCAAAGCTTTTAATGTATTCTGTGGTGTTCAAGTGACTCCTCCCTGCCCCCCAGAATTTCTTCATTTTCTGCATCATTTTCTCTGGCTTTCATCTAGGGCTGAAAAAAGACAAGACATTATTAGAACTG